GTCAGAGTGGGTCAGATCCGAGAGCTATATTTCGTGAGATTGTCGTTCGAAAAATAAAATAAAAATTTACCTATCTCCTTTAACGCAGTAATCCAGCTAAGTCCTCAATATTACTCTTCATAATTCCAATTTCATTAAATTTATCTTATGAAATTCTTGCATCCCGTAACTTAATATAATAAAAAACAAATTTGTATTGGAAAACAGAGCCAAAAGTTTAGACATATATAGTTACAAATTGCATTAAATATTTTAATCAAAATATGCCTTCTTAGTTTGGAGTTACACTAAAACTAATTAACCTTGTAATCCTTTATCTACTGATAAGTCTGTCAAATGTCTACATGGAACTTCAAAATCTTATCACTATCAATTTCAGCCAAAACGTCACAATGCTAAGCCATTAGACGGCATTTTGACACGTTTTTAACATCTAGGTTTCTTGTCTATATTTTTATAAAATTTGCAATCGAATCAAAACTTATACCCCGATCATATAACTTTAAGCATCCTCGAATGTCGAAATATTATATACACATAAACAACGCAAAAAGCAATCAATAATCATATTACATATTTATTACTAGCGGCCCGCTCCGGCTCCGCTCGGGTCTTTACCAAAAATTTCAAGGATATATTTTGAAGTTGTTTAATTTTTTTAAATAAAGAACACTTACTGCGTCATAATTATAATAGTTAGACATATGAAAGTCGTAGTACGTTATTTTATTCTATCACTAGCGACCCGCCCTCGCTTCGCTTCGGAAACATTAAAACACATATGAAACAAAAAAAAAAAAAAAAAAAAAAAAAAAAAAAAAAAAAAAAAAAAAAAAAAAAAAAAAAAAAAAAAAAAAAAAAAAAAAAAAAAAAAAAAAAAAAAAAAAAAAAAAAAAAAAAAAAAAAAAAAAAAAAAAAAAAAAAAAAAAAAAAAAAAAAAAAAAAAAAAAAAAAAAAAAAAAAAAAAAAAAAAAAAAAAAAAAAAAGGGGTTTTTTACAATTTTTAAGAAGCTTGCTCATTATCACCGATTTATGCTGTCATTTCACAAATTTCCACGAGCCGAGGTAGATGCACTATTCGTTTTGTAATAAATATATCGGCATGTTGAAACAGTTGATAAATGCATCTATGTAATATACTAGATATTAATTTAATCAGATGCTGTTTCTTTTAAATAAACATAAATTGGGTATTATGTAATTGTTGCATTTGAAATTGAATTCCGGTTTCTAGTCTGCAAACGTTATTATTGGAAATCGAATTA